AAGCCAGTACCATGCCATTTTGGTTACTATATAGTATATTCAAAGTCAGGTAATGTGATTGTTTCAGTTTTGTTCTTTTTGCTCAGAATAGCTTTGGCTATTCTAGGTCTTTTGTGGGTTCATATAAATTTTAGGATTTTTTTTGTTTATTTGAAGAATGTCATTGGTATTTTGATAGGGATTGTATTTAATCTGGAGATTGCTTTGGGTAGTATGGACATTTTAACAATATTGATTCTTCCAATCCATGAACATGGAATATCTTTCCATTTTCTTGTGTCTTCTTTGATTTCTTCCATAGTGTTTTATAGTTTTCATTACAGAGATCTTTTACTTCTTTGGTTAAGTTAATTCCTAGGTGTTTAATTTTATTGTCAATGGGATTACTTTTTTAAGTTTCTTTTTCAGATTGTTTACATATAGAAATGCTACTGATTTTTGTTTGTTGATTTTGTATCCTGCAACATTATTGAATTTGTTTATCAGTTCTAATAGTTTTCTTCTGGAGTCTTTAGATTTTTTCAAATATAAGATTATATCAGTAAACAAGGATACTTTGACTTCCCCCTTTCCAATTTGGATGACTTTGTATCTCTCTCTTGTCTGATTGTTCTAGCTAAGACTTCTAGCACTCTGTTGAATAACAGTGGTGACAGTGGGTGTCCTTGTCATGTTCCAGATCTTAGATGAAAGGCTTTCAGTTTTTCCCCATGTGGTATGATACTAGCTTTGGGTCTGTTGTATATAGCTTTTATTATGTTTAGGTATGTTCTTTCTATCCCAAGTTTTTTTTTAGGGTTTTTATTAAAACAACATTGAATTTTATCAAATGCTTTTTCAGCATTCATTGAAATGATCATGTGATTTTTACCCTCTATTCTGTCTATATGATGTATCACATTGATTTATTTGCATATGTTGAACCTTACCTGGGACAAATCTTACTTGGTCAGGATGATCTTTTTAATGTCTTGTTGAACTCAGTTTGCTAATATTTTGTTGAGGATTTTTGCATCAATATTCATTAGAGATATTGGCCTATAGATTTTTTTTTATATGTCTGTCTGGTTTGGGTATCAGGGCAATATTGGCCTTGTAGAATGAGTTTGGAAGTATTCCCTCTTCCTCTACTTTTCAAAATAGGTAGGATTTGTTATTAATTATTCTTTAAATGTTTGGTAGACTACAACAGTGAAGCCATTAAGTTCCAAGTTTTTCTTTACTAGGAGACTTTTTATTATGGCTTTGTTCTCATTACTTGTTATTGGTATGTTCAGGATTTTGATTTCTTTCATTTATAATATTGGTAGGTTGTATGTACCTAGAAATTTGTCCATTTTTTCTAGATTTTCCAATTTATTGGCATGTAGTTACTCACAGTAGCCACTAATGATCCTTTAAATTTCTGTATTATCAGTTGTAATACCTTCTTTTTCATTTCTGATTTAATGTATTGGGATTTTCTCCTTTTTCTGAATTAGTCTGGCTAAAGATTTGTCAGTTTTCTTTTAACTTTTCTAAAAATCGACTTTTTGTTTCATTGATTATTTGTATTATTTTCATTTCAATTTCAGCTATTTCTCCTCTGATCTTTATTATTTCTTTTCTTTTACTAATTTTGGCTTCGGTTTGCTCTTGCTTTTCTAGTTCTTTAAGAGGCATTATTAGATTGTTTATTTGAAGTTTCTCCTCTTTTTTGTTATAGGTACTTATAGCTATAGACTTCCCTTCGGGTACTGGTTTTGCTGTATCCCATAGGTTTTGGTGTGTTGTGTTTCCATTATTATATGTTTCAAGAAATTTTTCAATTTCCTTCTTAACTTCTTCATTGACTCACTGTTCATTCAGGAGCATATTGTTCAATTGCCATGTATTTGTATAGCTGCCAAATTTTCACTTTTTAAAATTTCTAGTTGTATTCCATTGTGGTCAGAAAAGATGCTTAATATTATTTCAATTTTATGAATGTTTTAAGACTTGTTTTATGACATAATATATGGTCTATCTTTGAGAATAATCCATGTGCTGAGGAAAAGAATATGTATTCTGTACCTCTTAGATTAAATGTTTTGTAAATATCTATTAGATCCATTTGGTCTGTCGTGCAGATTAAGTCTGATGCTTCTTTGTTGATTTTGTCTGAAAAATCTGTCCAATGCTGAGAGTACAGTGTTGAAGTCTCCAGCAATTGTTGTGTTGGGGCATACCTATCCCCTTAGCACTAATAGTATTTGTTTTATATATCTGGGTGCCCCAGTGTTGGTTGCATATTATTTACAATTGTTATATCCTCTTGCTGAATTGACCCCTTTATTATTATATAGTGATTGTCTTTGTCTCTTCTTATAGATTTTTCTTGAAATCTATTTTGTCTTATATAAGTATAGTGATTCCTGCTCTATTTTGGTTTCCACTGGCATGGAATGCTTTCTTTCTTTCTTTCTTTTTTGAGATGGAGTTTTACTCTTGCTGCCAAGGCTGGAGTGCAATGGCAAAATCTCAGCTCACTGCAACCTCTGCCTCCCTGGTTCAAGTGATTCTTCTGCATCAGCCTCCCAAGTAGCTGGGACTACAGGCATGTGCCACCACGCCCAGCTAATTTTGTATTTTTAGTAGACACAGGGTTTCTCCATGTTGGTCAGGCTGGTCTTGAACTCCTGGCTTCAGGTCATCCACCCACCTTGGCCTCCCAAAGTGCTGGGATTACAGGTGTGAGCCACAGCACCCAGCCCTAGTGTTTCTTTACAGGTGAAGTGTGGTTCTTGTAGGCAATAGATTAATGGGTCTTGTTTTTTCATCCATTCAGCTACTCTATGTATTTTAATGGGAGAGTTTAGTCTACTTATATTCAGTGTTATTATTGATAAGTAAGTACTTACTCTTACCATTTTGTTATTTGTTTTCTGATTGTTTAATGGTCTTCTCTTCCTTCTTTCTCCTCTTTATGGCTTCCTTTTACTGAAAATGATTTTCTTTGATGGTATGTTTTATTTGCCCAGAAGTGTATTTTTCATTTTTTGTGTATCCTTTGTATGTTTTTTGGTTTGAGGTCACACCTCTCCGATTCTCCAGGATTGGTACTTTGTGCCTTATTTAGTTCATTTAGTGAGGTCATGTTTTCCTGGATGATGGTGATGCTAGTAGATGTTCTTCAGTGTCTGGGCATTCAAAAGTTAACTATTTATTGTAATCTTCACTGTCTGGGCTTATTTTTTGGCTTTTCTTTTTGGGATGATTTTTCAGATATCTGAAAGGACTTAAGTATTGTGTTCTAAGCTTTATCTTCTTTAGAGGGAACCCCAAGCCTAATAACACTGTGGTTCTTTCAGACTTGTAGAGGTACCGTCTTGATAGTCTTAGACCAGATCTGTGAGAATTCTTTGGGTTACCAGGTAGACACTCTTGTTTCCTTCCCTTACTTTATAGCAAACATACATTCTCTCTGTGTTCTGAGCCACCTAAAGCTGGGGATGGAGTGATACAAGCACCCATGTGGCCACCACCACTGTGACTGCACCAGGTCAGACCTAAAGCCAGCACAGCACTAGATCTCACCCAAGGTCCGCTATAACCACTCCCTGGCTACTGCCTATGTTTGCTCAAGGCTGTAACCATTCCATGGCTACTGCCTTTTTGCTCAAGGCCCTGGGGCTCTACAATCAGTAGGCGGCAAAGCTAGCCAGGCCTATGTCCTTTCCTTCAGGGTGGTGGCAAGGTCTCCTAATACCCAGGTGGGTCCAGAACTTTCAGTGCTGTCTGGAAGTTAGGGGCTAGAGTCAAAAACATTAGATGTCTATGTGGTGTTCTACTCTATTGAAGCTGAGCTGGTACTCAAACCATACAACTCAGACGTTCCCACTCTTCCCTCCCCTTTCTAAAGACAGAAGAATCACACACTCTAACCACTGCCACCCCAGGCCATGAGCAGTACTGCCAGACTGCTGCCAATGTTCCCTTAATGCCCAAGGTCTCTTATGTCAGGTTGTCGTGAATGCTGCCTGGCCTGGAAGTCACCCTCCAGGGCAGTGGGCTCCTCTCTGACCCAAGGCAGGTCCAGAAATACCATCTGAGTCGAGTCCTGGAATCAGGGACTCCCAGGACCTGCTTTTTGCTCTAAGCCCCTGTGGCTGTGCTGGTATCTAAGGCACAAGACAAAGTCCCCTTTACTTTTCCATCTGCTTTTCTCAAGCAGAAGGAGTTTTGCCCATAGCCACTATAACTGATAATGTGCAGAGTCTCACCTGAAGCCAGCAAGTCTCAGGCTCATGCAAGGCCCTCAATGTAGTACCTAGATATCACTGGTGGTTATTCAAGGCCCAAGTGCTCTTCAGTTAGCAGGTGATGAGGGCTGGCAGGACTGCATTCTTTCCTTCAGGGCAGTGGGTTCCCTTCTGGCCCAAGGTGTGTCTATAAATGTCATTTTGGAGCTAGGTCCTGGAAGGGAGGTCTCTGACTGGTGCCCTATCCTGCTGTTGCTGAGTTGGCATCCAAGATGCAAGATAAAGTCCTCTCCACTCTTCCCTCTTCTCTCCTCACCACTTTTCCCACTCCTCTCCTTAAGCAGAATGAAGGGATCTCTTTTGAAGCTGCAGGCTGTGTAGCCTGGAGTTAGGGGAGGGGTGACGCCAGTACTCCCTTGGTTGTCTCAGTATGTTGTATTTTGGAATACTCATCAAGTCAGGTTAAAAGACATCTTTCAGGAACTATTTCCTCATTGCAATTGGATTCAAGCATTACAGTCAACAGCACCGCACTGGTAGAGACAGCACCAGAGGTAGCCCTTAGTCCAAGAGAAGTAAGCAGACACTTGGACTGGCCTCTGGATCCATTGCCAGTGAGGAGCTGCCAAACTGTGGGTGATACTTGAAAGGGCTACCCCAGATGAGCCCCCAAATTTGTAACCACCTGACAGGTTCATCTTGCCTGCTGTCCAGATAGAGTCAATTTATCAACACAGGGGAATTACAATAGAGAAATACTTTCAAACATGTAGAACCACCTAAATGGGAGACCAGAGTTTTATTACTACTCAAATCAGCCTCTCCCAAAATTTAGAGGCTAGGAATTTGAAAAAATAATTTGGCAGGCAAGGGGCTAGGCAATGGGGTACTACTGATTAGTTGGGGATGCAATTATAGGAGTGCGGAAAATGGTCCTTTGTCACTGAGTCTGCTTCTGGGTGGGGGCCACAGGACCAGTTCAGTCATGTGTTGCAGATCTGAGTGAAGTCATCTGGTCATCAGCAATGCAAAAGTCTGAAAAGACAAAAGATCAATCATAGGTTCTTTAACAGTAATATTATTTACAGGAGTAAGCAGGGAAGTTACAAATCTTGTGACCTCCAGAACAATGGCTTGCAATCATTGAACTAAACCTACATCTTAGCAGAATTCAGCATCCTTTCATAATTCTAATTTTGTGGACTTTTATTAGTGTTATAAAGGTGGTTAGTTCAGCAAAGGGTTATTGTCATTTAAACCATAAACTAAATTTCTCCCAAAGTTAGCTGGGCCCACACCCAGGAATGAAGTTTGGAGGTTAAAGGCAAGATGGAGTTAACTAGATGAGATCTATTCCTCTGTCATAATTTTCTCACTGTTATAATTTTGGCTGGGATGAAAGTCTGAACTCTCTAAATAGTCTTTTGTAACTGTACAATGAGTTCACCTACCTGCTGCCTAGACAGAGCCAATTTATCAAGATAGAGAAATTGCAATAGAGAAAGAGTAATTCATGCAGAACTGGCTGTGCAGGAGACTAGAGTTTTATTGTTACTCAAATCAGTCTCCCCGAGCATTTGGGGATTGGAGTTTTTAAGGATAATTTGGTGGGTAGGGGCCAGTGAGTCAGGAGCACTGATTGGTTGGCTTGAAGATGAAACCATAGGGAGTTGAAACTGTCCTCTGCATCAGTTCTTGGGAGCTGGGGGTCACAAGATCAGATGAGCCAGTTTATTGATCTGGGTGGTACGAGCTGATCCATCAAGTGCAAAATATCTCAAGCACTGATCTTAGATTTTACAATAGTGATGTTATCCCAGGATCAATTTGGGGAGGGTCAGAATCTTGTAGCCTCCAGTTGCATGGCTCCTAAACCATAATTTCTAATCTTTTGGCTAATTTGCTAGTCCTACAAAGGCAGTCTAGTCTCCAGGCAAGAAGGGGGTTTGTTTTGGAAAAGGGCTGTTATCATGTTTCAAAGTATAAGCTATAAACTAAGTTCCTCCCAAAGTTACTTTGGCCTGCACCCAGGAATGAACAAGAACAGCTTGGTGGTTAGAAGTAAGATGGAGTTGGTCAGGTTGGATCTCTTTTACTGTCTCAGTTATAATTTTTCAGTGGCGATTTCACTTCTGTAATAGCACCCTGGTGATGGAAAGGAAGGGTGGTTTGTTACAGGAAGATGAAAGTGGATATCTAGGCTTTCTACCTCACTTTTGCTGGCTGGAGTGGGAGTGGAATCACAGTTTTTTCCATGGTGTTTGGCTAGAATAGAGTGGCTACTGTGTAAAAGTTTTCTATTTTGCTAGGCTGCCCCTTTCTTGGTTATTTGGCTAGAGAGAGCAAGATTCTATTGGGCTTTTTAATGTCTGTATCTATTCACATTTCTGGGTTGCTGGCTTCTCCAGCACCACGTCTCAGATCTATGAGGCAAAAAAAAAAAAAAAAAGGCCAAAAATAAAACAGGGCACTTACCTCAGGTGAATCAATACTTAAGTTCTGAGGTTTTTAGCTGGTCTGCTCTTTTCTCTCCACCTTTCAGAATCATTTTAGATTTGTTTTATATGAAATATTCAGCATTTTAAGCCATTCTTCATGGGAGGAATAAGAAAAAACACATATAATCACTCTTTCCAGAAGTGTAAGTCTTAATTTGACATAACTTAAAAAAAACTTTTTTTTTTTTCTTCTTTTTTTTTTATTGCATTTTAGGTTTTGGGGTTCATGTGCAGAGCATGCAATACAGTTGCATAGGTACACACAGGGCAGTGTGTTTTGTTTGCTTTCTCCCCTTCACCCACATTTGGTATTTCTCCCCTGGCAATCCCTCCCCACCTCCCCCTCCCACTGGCCCTCCCCTTTTCCCCCTATAGACCCCAGTGTTTAGTACTCCCCTCTCTGTGTCCATGTGTTCTCATTTTTCATCACCTGCCTATGAGTGAGAAAATGCGGTGTTTCATTTTCTGTTCTTGTGTCAGTTTGCTGAGAATGATGTTCTCCAGATTCATCCATGTCCCTATAAACGACACAAACTCATCATTTCTGATTGCTGCATAATATTCCATGGTGTATATGTGCCACATTTTTCCAATCCAGTCTATCATCGATGGGCATTTGGGTTGATTCCAGGTCTTTGCTATTGTAAACAGTGCTGCAATGAACATTCGTGTGCATGTGTCCTTGTAGTAGAACGATTTATAGTCCTTTGGATACATACCCAGTAATGGGATTGCTGGGTCAAATGGGATTTCTATTTCTAAGGCCTTGAGGAATCGCCACACCGTCTTCCACAATGGTTGGACTGATGGATTAAAGACTTAAACATAAGACCCGGCACCATAAAAACCCTAGAAGGAAATCTAGGCAAAACCATCCAGGACATAGGAGTAGGCAAAAAAAAATTTTAAATTTCAAACAACAGAATAATTTTTTTTCGATATTAAAACCATTATTCTGATTGAAGAGAAGGAAGAAAGGCCCAACACTCCACAATCTATTATTTTCCCAGATATTCAGTTAACTTTGCAGTGCCTCTATAAATTTTCCAAAGCTTCACAAAGCACAGTTTGAAAAATCACTGGACCTGAAGTTCTCCACCATTTCAACTCTGACCTTCTTTGAGTCTTTGATTTCCTCCTGGTAGGATTGATGGACTTAACTAATTTAGTTGTTTTTCTCACTGAATTTTCTCACTGTCTTGTAGGCTGTTTCTCCAGTAAGATGAAATCTTCTTAGGGCCTATCCCAGTTAGAGAAATACATCTATTCTTGTGTTAAGGTATTTCCCATTGGTATGTGGATTAACTGGTAGACATCAGGAAGTCCTAGCTGGCATGCATTTGTTATCAAGTAGAAATGATGTTTGAACTACAGCAAGTAGAAAGAGGTAGTGTGACTGCCTGTAGAGTTATCAATCACTTTAAAAGGTGCACCCGGTGGGGTTGCAGAGTCAACAAACAGAGAGGGCAGTTCCAGAATGGAAGGCAATGAGAAGATAGGCGATTCAGTAAGAGAAGAGAGTGACAGCCAGAGGGAGTAAGGTAGAAGTGGCCTTAACAGAGTACAAGGAAGAGAAGAGGGTAGAGTTCTTTTCAATTTTAGATTTAGGGTCTGATGTGAATTTTCAAGCTTTTGAAGACACTGATTAAGTTTTGAATTAGTCTCTTTTAAGGAGGTAACTAGAGACTCCATTTCTTTTTTGTTTTAATTAAAAATATATACATAGTAGGTATATAACTTTATGGGGTACATGAGATGTTTTGACACAGGCATGCAATTTGAAATACAAACATCAAGGAGAATGGGGCATCTATGCCATCGAGCATTTATCCTTTGAATTACAAACAACCCAACTATACTCTTTATTTTTAAATGCACAATTACGTTATTATTGACTATAGTCATCCTATTGTGCTATCAAATAGTAGGTCTTATTCATTATTTCTAACTATATTTTTAGAGCTTCCATAATACCAGTTGAAAAAGGCTTCCCATTGCCTTTGAGAGGTCCAGAATCCTCTCTACTCTAATTGTGCATGTAGATAGACTAATTTAGGTATATCAAAAGTTCCCCATTGTTGCCAACAAAGCTTTGAGTCATCCTGGGTTATTTGCATCCAGGATCCTAAATAGTCACAAGAGTTTTTCCCATAGTTTTAAACATATGGGTTGCTGTAGTTCCCGATGGTGGCTGGCCAGTGATCATTACTTTAGTGGGTGAATTACCCATAGCACTCACCTAAAAAAGTCAACTTTAGGCCAGGTGCAGTGGCATACACCTGTAATCCCAGCACTTTGGGAGACCAAGGTGGGTGGATCACCTGAGGTCAGGAGTACTAAGACCAGCCTGGCTAACATGATGAAACTCTGTCTCTACTAAAATACAAAAAAATTAGCCAGATGTGGTAGCAGATGCCTGTAATCCCAGCTACTCAGGAGGTTGAGACAGGAGAACTGCTTGAACCCGGGAGGCAGAGGTTGCAGTGAGCTGAGTTGCACCACTGTACCCCAGCCTGGGCAACAAGAGCCAAGAGCAAAACTCTGTCTCAAAGGAAAAAAAATGAAGTCAGCTTTAGAGTATGACCATAGATCAGGTGTTCCTGCTTAGAACACAAGCGTTAGGTCTACCTGCAAACCAGATGGATTGACCCTATTTAAAGAAAATAAAGCCTCCTAGATCTCAGCTAAAAGCTGAGGAGATCTTGGATCCAGGAGTGCTTACTCAACTCTTGCCCACCATGGCTAGAAGACAACTGGACCTTAAAGGGTCCTTGCTGGCCCCTAGGTATTGATTGAGGCAGTAGAGGAAAAGAAATTTGGGGCCACTTTGGATTCTATTCTCATCATCAGAAATGTTAACAAAATGACCATGAGATCTACAGAGGAAGAAAAAATGAGAAGACTTTTATTTTCAGAGCAACAATCTACAGATTGAAGCATGTAGCCTCCAGGGAAACTGTGTACACGCATTCTGCAGAAGAGAAGGAAACAGCAGCGTTTAAGCCTTCCAGGACTTGTCTTACATGTATATTCATCAGGATTAGGTAATGTCTATAAAATTTACAGGGAAAGTCAAGCACATGTGTAGTGAGTTAACATATATGTAATACACATGTTAATTATGTTCACATTGGGATTGGGCTTTAACATTAAAATAAGGTTGTTACAGGTAGTTAGGAATAAGTAGGGCAGGAGGAGGCTGTCCTCCCAACCCACCAGGAATGTCAGGCAACCATCAGGTGATGGCTCAGCAGTTACCACACTGCCTCTCTAAAAATGATAATTTGGCAGCCGGTGCCAGGGAGAGACAATCTCCTCATGGTCCACAGCTGTCACACTAAAATATTAATTGAACACAAGTACCAGGGAGAGGCAACTTCCCAAACAGATAAAAACACTTGAGGTTGGTAATTGGCTTCCAGTAAAATCTCAGGAGTTGGGCGAGTGAGCCTGGGCATGTGCATTAAGAGACAAAATAGTGGGATGGGCATGCGTACAATTTCCTAAACACAATGCGCATGCTCACTTCCCAAGTGTAAGGAGGGCATTGCATGTGGGCAGCCCATCCTAAGGAAAGAATCATGGGAAAGGGGTACAAGACGCCAAAGATGGGCCATCATATAAAATCCTAGTATGAAGATTAAATGCTGCACTTGTCCTTCAAGTTGCTTGCTTGGGTCTCTTCCAAGTGTACTTCCTTTCTTTCCTGCTCTAAAGATTTTTAAATAAACTTCCAGTCCTGCTCTAAAACTTGACTCAGTCTCTTTTTCTTTTTACTTTTCTTTTCTTTTCTTTTTTTTTTTTTTTTTTGAGTCAGAGTTTCATTCTTGTTACCCAGGCTGGAGTGCAATGGCGTGATCTCGGCTCACGGCAACCTCCGCCCCCTGGGTTCAGGCAATTCTCCTGCCTCAGCCTCCTGAGTAGCTGGGATTACAGGCACACGCCACCGTGCCCAGCTAATTTTTTGTAATTTTTAGTAGAGACGGGGTTTCACCATGTTGACCAGGATGGTCTCGATCTGTTGACCTCGTGATCCACCCGCCTCGGCCTCCCAAACTGCTGGGATTACAGGCTTGAGCCATCGCGCCCGGCCTCAGTCTCTTTTTCTACCTTATGCCCCTCAGTTGAATTCTTTTTTCTAAGGAGGCAGGAATTGAAGATGCTGCAGACCTGTACGGATTTGCCACTGATAACTCAGATACCTTCTACTCCAACAAGGTGGAACTTGCCTTTTTAAATCAAAAGGTGAACTATAGGGCACAAAGACATTTTGTGCACAGTCTCTGCAAACTGACTGGGACTGGTTTAGAGTCTTTAGCTGTTTATCAGGAAGAATTCTTGTAAGGTTGATCCATCCAGTTGGTGGCACTCGCAGGAACCTTAAGGCAGAGGTATCCCAGTTGCCTGGTGTCAGGCAGTCCACTGGGTTCAGTTGGGCAGTGTTTTGCTAGAACATGTTCCCACCCAATTGTAGGAAGGAAGACCTTATGGCATTTAACAAACGTTATGGCATTTAACAAACCTTATGGTAATTAACAGTGTAGGAGTACATGAGCAAACCCTTTTCCTTGCTATGGTGACTTAAACTTTTTTTCTTTTTTAGAGATAGAGTCTCACTCTGTCTTCCAGGCCGGAGTACAGTGGCATGATCATAGCTTACTGCAGCCTTAATTCCTGGGTTAAAACAATCGTCCTGCAACAGCTTCTTGAGTGCATAGCTAGGACTACAGGTGTGTGCCGCCATCTCTGGGTAATTTTTATTTATTTTTTTTTGTAGAAACTGTTGCATTGAACTAAGCACAGAAAGTCAACACCAGAACAAAAGTATGCCAAATTGCAGGGTTTATTGCCGGCAACCACGGAGGACTCACATCTCTCCAACCCGTGGCAGAGAAAGAAGAGTGACAAGACCTTTTTATACCCACAAAACCACCTTGGGAGTGGGGTGAGGAGCGGAGATGGGAATGAAAGCTGTCAATCACCTCCTAGGCTGAGACGAGGGTGAGGGGGCTCCAGATATTCCAAGGGCCAGGGGACTTCTGTCATTCCGATTGCCACTTAAGTGGTTTACAGAGGTCAAGATAAACATTAGTTTATACATTATTTGGACAGGTGTGGGGTCCACATAATTTTAGGTTACTTGGCACCAGGATGGAATTATCTGGGGGTGCTTACTTTGGTAAACAAAGGCCAGCAATTCTGGCAGTTACAGATAAGAGAAAGTATGCAGCTTGTCCTCTCTTTGCATTTTGCAAGGTAATCTTAGTAGTTTACAGAAGCCATGGCTAGTAGTCATTGTGAGGAGAATGGAAACAGTTTTCCCATTTTAAAATGTCATTGTACTGGTTCTAATTCTAGGCCAGCTATATCACACCCCCCCCCCCCGTTCTTATAACATAAATTAAATCTTTAATAGGTGTCCTCTTTTTGACACAGAGGCCCATAGTTGGATCTTAGAACCATTAATTTTACCGAATCTATTCTTTCCTGGATAAATTTGCAGAGCATGTTTAAAAGGCATGGTGTAAATGTTAATCTTAGGACCACTAACATCAAGGGTCCTGCTAACCCAGTGAGCAGGGATGTCAGCTAGGGGGACCAAGAGAACAGTTTTTGGTACTAATTTCCTGAGGCTTCTCTGAGGTGTTTTCATATTTCTAAGTTTTTTCTAACCATAGCAAGACTGTCTTAGATAATTCTAGAATTATTTGCATAGAAGCAACATCGCTTACCGAGAGCCGCATACGGCCCTCCTTCCCTCAAGAACAACAAGTCTAACCCCTTTTTATTTTGCAATACCATTTTGGCTAAGGAGTCTACTTGTTCAGCTAATTTGGTGAGGGAATTTTCTAGATGGGCAATTTCTGCATCTATTTGATGTGAGAGAGTTTGGAAATTTTGGTCCCCAGTGACTAAGGCAGATATTCCTATAGCAGTGGACCCTGCTATTCCAAGTCCCACTAATAGGGGTACAATTATGGGGGCCTGTTTCTAACATCTGTCTGTATTGGGTGTTATGAGAATTTTACCTTTTATCTGGTGTGGACTTTGGGCATAGATATAGCCTCATTGTCTGAAGCCGTTTTTCGGCCACTACGTTCCCACACCCCATCTCTTTCGCCTTTACCGCATTTCCCTGCCCCATCTTTTTGTCTTCATTTGTCCTAGAGTATTTGTATCTAGGCTCTCATTTAAGAGAGTGCAGAGGTCTAGGGAGAAGGTTATGGGATCTCTGGGAATGTATTCTAGGGTTAAGTTGACAAGGGTGGTTCCAGCCCCAAGTACAGTACTAACAAATTGTCCCATTGAGCCTTCCGTGATGACCTATTGACAATAAGTGGGCATTAAGGGGGGTGGTTACAGGAATCAAAGAGATTAGGATGATGACCATGAACGGCACGAAAGTCTTAGCTTTAGGGGGTCCATTGAGGATGCAACTATTTCTTATCTTGCATCCGGGGGCAGTCTTGAGGTGTGAATGGTGAATTCAGGCAGTCAGTCTGTCCACCTTGACTGCTGTGGGGGTGACAAGAATCACGGTGTAGGGTCCCTTCCAGAGAGGAGTCAGACCGGAGGCAGTGAATCTCTTTATTAAGACCTTATTCCCCGGCCGGAAGGGGTGTAGCGGCTGGTCAGTGAGGTTCCCTGGAGTAGGTTGAACTTCCCTGATGAGTGAATGCACCTGGGACTGAACAGACTGGAGTGCCTGCAAGGACTTAAGGAGTGTATGATTATGGACTTCAGCATGTACGGTGTCCGCAAGTTTGGGGAGTAAGGGAGGGGGCCTCCCAAACATAATTTCAAAAGGAGTAAAGCCTTTCTTATAGGGAGTAGATCGGGTACGGAGGAGAACAAAAGGAAGCAGGTTGACCCAGTTTTCACCGGTCTCTAGGATAAATTTTGTTAAAGTTTCCTTTATGGTCTGGTTCATCCTTTCAACCTGCCCAGAACTCTGGGGGCGATAAGCACAGTGTAGCTTCCAGGATATGCCAGGGCCTTGGCTAGGCCCTGTGAAACCTGCGCCGTAAAAGCAGGGCCATCATCTGATCCCAGTGTCAGGGGCAAGCCAAACTGAGGAGCCAGGTCCTATAACAGTCTCTTTGTTACTACCAGTGCAGTTTCTGACCTAGTAGGAAAAGCCTCGACCCACCCAGAAAAAGCGTTTGTAAACATAAGGAGGCATTTACAGACTCAAGCTGGGGACTTTATTTCAGTAAAATTTACCTTCCACTGTTCCCCTGGGCTAGTATCCCTAAGCCTTATTCCTGCTTGACTAGTTTTACTGTCTCCTAAATTTACCCTGTCACTTACATTACAATGAATAGTAGTTTCCCTAACAATTTTATGTAAATGTGGAATGTAGTATCTGGCCCTTAACAACTCAGTGAGTTTTGTTTGTCCTAAGTAAATGGCCTGGTGTGTTCTTAACTAGAGTCTTCTCTAGAGCCTCTGGGAGCACAATCCTTATGTCCAGTAGAATCCAACATCCTGTGGAATCTTGTCGTCCCCCCTGTTCTTTAGCAAAGTTTTCTTCCTCAGGCGAGTATGTTGGGGTATGAGGCAGGTTTGGGGCTGGCAGAGTCACAAGAAGAGTCAGGTTTTATTGGCCCCAAGGCTGCCTATCTGGCTTGCAGGTCAGCTGCCCTATATCCCCTTGTCTCTGGTGAATCTCCCTTCTGGTGTCCTTTGCAGTGTATTAATGCCACTGCCTTGGGCTTCCATAGAGCTTCTAGCAGGGCTAGGATTTCCCCTTTGTTTTTGATGATTTTTCCCTCTGAGGTAAGCAGCCCTCTTTCTTTATAAATGGCTCCATGTACTTGGGCTGTAGCAAAGGCATATCGACTATTTATGTAGATATTGACAGTTTTTCCCTCTGCCCAGTCCAAGGCCTTTATTAGAGCTATGAGTTCAGCCTTCTGGGCTGAGGTCCTGTGTAGGAGAGCCTGAGCTCAGATAACCCGTTCTAGGGTGACCACAGCTGCCCCGGCATACCTGACTCCGTTGACCATGAAGCTGCTTCCATCCGTATACAATACCTCTTCCGGGTTCTGCAGGGGGACGTCAGTGAGATCCGGTCGCGCAGCGTAGAGGACATCTATTGTCCATTGGCAGTCATGAATTGGCTTCTCTGGCCCGCTGTCAGGTAGCAATGTGGCGGCGTTTGACATCCATTTTCTGGGGCTCCACGGAGTAGCGACTCTACCACGTGGGGAGCCACTAAGTTTAACTCCTGCCTCAAAGTCAGCTTGTCTGCCTCTTTGATTAATAGGGCTGTGGTCGTCACCACTCTCAGACAAGCTGGCCACCCAGAGGCTACGGGATCAAGTCCTTTTGAAAGATAGGTGACTGGCTGGGATTAGGGTCCCAGAGTTTGGGTGGGCACCGCCTTAGCAATTCTATGTTTTTCATGCACAAACAACTGGAAAGGTCTAGAGCTGTCTGGCAGGGCTAAGGCTGGGGCCGCAGTCAGGGCAGTCTTGAGCTTGTCAAAAGCCTGTTGCTCTACCTCTGTCCATGTTAAGGGCTGATTTCTTCTAGTGCAGGCATACAGGGCTTGGCTATCTCAGAAAATCCCAATATTCATAGCCTGCAGTACCCTAGTGCCCCAAGGAATTCTTTAACTTGGCGTTTCATGGTGGGGGTGGGTATTTGCAGCACTGCTTGGATTCGGCTGGGTGCCAGTGCCCGGTTGCCTTTCTCTGTAATAGAGTCCCAGTAAGTAACTCTCGGCTGGCAGAGTTGGGCCTTTTTAGCTGAGACCCGGTACTCTAAAGTCTGTAGGGTCCTTAGTAATGACTGGGTGGACTCTTTACAGTCCTCCTGGGTTTTTGTGGCTAAGAGTAAGTTATAACTCAGCTCGGAAATCAGCAAGGTCTTGGCTCAGCGTCTCATCAAACAAAGTGGGAGAATTCTTAGAACTTTGCAGCAGCTTCTCTGCTGGATTTCTGGTTCCCGGAAGTTAACTCAGGTTTCCTGGAGTGCTGTTATCACTACTTTAGTAACTCCCTTATCTTGCTTGGCCTCTAAGGCGTTCCTATTGTTAAAAACTTTTTGGGCAATTTCTAACAACTGAGCTAAATTTATTCCCTGAAACCCCTCTAATTTTGCAACTTTCTTTTGATGTCTGGGGCAGACTGGGAAACAAAAGCCAGATTTATGGCCCACTGATTTTTACAGTCCCTACCATGGAGCCGCTCTCTTTACCCCCTCTAACAATTACCGGTGAAAAGTGTTCAGAGCCTGGTGACCCCTCAAGGTGTTGGGCCCCCATGTGGGGCCAGGTAGATGAAAAATACCATTTTAATTTGGTCATGGCATTTTCTGATCTTCCCCCCATCCTACGTATTGCTTTATGGGCTTCTCGTCTAATTCTACTCCTCTCCTCTGTGGTGAACAAACTCAGTAATAATTGTTGGCAGTTATTCTAAATGGGGTGATAAGTTTGCAGTACAGATTTTAGAAGCCCTGTCAAAGCCTGGGGCTTCTCAGAGAATGGGGGATGTTGAGCTTTCTGACAGAACTTACTCTGTTGTAAAACTTTGCTACCACTTCAAGATCCTCCAGCCTCCCAGCACGACCCCTTCCCGGGGAACTTTCTATCTCAGTAGTTTTCTAACCCTCTCCCTCTTGCCATATTAGTAGTTCCCTAGCCTTCCCAGAAACTATTAAACTCAGCACTTCCCCAGCCCCTCCCCTCTTGCACAGCCCCTCATACTGGAGGTATCTGCCGGCTTGCAGGCCATAAAAATTCCTTTTGCCATGCCACAGGTGCTGCATGTCAATTTTTGGTGCAGCCCAGCAGATTTTTCCTTGCTTTTAATAAATCTTGTGCCAGCACTTGGTGTTTTGGCTTCCTCCTTAATTTCTATCACCTTCTAGTTATATAAGTCACCTGACTAGAAGTGAACAAAGAATGGGCGACCCCAATTGTTTTCTTCTTGTTGGGGAGCCTCTCGGAGAAGAAGGACTGCTGGTGAGTGTAGGGCCCTGCTTCGAGTGTAGAGAGGAGACAAGGGCTGGTCATTAGTACTATCCAGGAAGGAAGGGGTGTTGGGACCCCACCCCCGAGGGCCGAGAATACGATGGAGGCAACTCTTGGTCCTCAGCAGGGCCTGGAAGAACAGCCGGTGCTGAGGGGCCCTTCTTTGGGCCTGCTAGCATAACCTGAAGTCCAGCACACTTTATACATTTTTCAAGCCAAGGAGCGGGGTGCTGGTTCAGCCTCAGCCATTGATTGATGTATGGAAATTGATCAGGGTGGCCTGGGGACCCTGACACGATGTTCCAGACAGCCTGGGTTACCTTGGGGTTGTATGTCCCCGTATCTGGCCAGCCTACCCCAAAGACTGACCACTCTAACTCACAAAGGGTGCAAAGCCTCTGTGGGGTTAGTTTAACACCATACTGGCCAGAGAACCCTAATTTAAAGTTTTCCCTCATGCATCAGAGGCGGGTGTATGGTCAGGACGGTGACGAGCCCATTTGGTCGTTTTCTTTCAGTTTTAAATTTTCCCCTGAGAGATTTTACTAGTTTAAGACTGGCCTTATTGAGGACTTGAACTAACAATTTCGCAGCTTGCGGCTCCCTGCCCCACCTTAACTGTTGTGCTAACAAATAATTTGCACTACAAAGAGTTAGAAAGCTGTTCTTAAAGCCAGTTTTTAGATGCAAATGCTACACTCTGAGACAGTGTGGCCGGCCTGAAAGCTGGGTGGGGCTGGCAGCCGGCAGAGAAGGGAAAAAAAAAAAAAACGCTTTTGGTGTCAGTTTAAACTGTGCTTTAAGACGCTGGGCCGGCTGTGATTTCTTCGCCTCTGCAGCTTTTTGTCACTTTTACACAGGGACCCTGAAAAGCATTAAATTCTTGTCTCCCCCCCCTTTTTTTTCTTTCTTCTCCACTCTCTTCTCTGTTATCTCTCTCTTTCCCTATTTCCTTTCTCTTGCTTTCTTTTCTTTGTCTCTGTTTCCTCTCTCTTCTTTTCCTTTCTCTCAGGACTCTTGCTTACTACCCGTGTCTTTCTTTTTCTGTGGTATAGCCAACTTTGGAAAGCCTCTAATTCAAATTTTGCCCTCTCTAAAGCAGGTTTTAGTAAGGCCTCCCTGTGATACACTACCGGGCACTGCTTATAATAACATTGGACACTTTTCTGGCAGAATAGGCAGTTACCAGTTTTCCATCCCAACCAGACAAAGCTCTCGTAGACCCTGTTCTAGGACTTTGTTTCCTACAACCCCAGAGAAACTACTTCTGAGGTGCTGGGGGCACAACTGCCTTCCCGACATGGGCTCAGACCCAGCACGGGCAAAAATACTCTTTTCCCGGTGGAGGTGGCTGGGAGAATTTATACACCACAATGATTATAACAAGGAAGAGAATAAAAACAACTAAAGTTAAGACTATCTGCCACATGGCGGAGAAAGAAAGAATGAGGCCTCAGTGATAGAAGAAAAAGATGAGAAAGAAGGAGAATAGAGTAATCTCTGCAGGGATATAATCAATGAAAGTTCCCTGCATCCAGTGTATGTCTGCTAGCAGAAGTCTAATAATACTGGCAAACTTACAGACGAGACAGGACCACATACAAGAGTGACAAACAAAGGGTGGGAGCCTCCTAGAGGAGACCACTCAGTTGCCTGCCCAGCCACGCCCCTGGAGGGGTATTTCAGGAACGTCTTGACTAAAGGTGTACCCATATAATCCCTGGGCCTCGTCACCTCAAGATGGAAGTCCGAGTAGGACAGCTCTGAGGTGAATCACCGTTATGCCTAATGACACTCCCGTGGAACCACGGGTGGAGGCCCACTCAAGCCCCGTGGCTTTCAGCCGTGGGACTATATAGATACTCACACACTCTCTCACTCACACAGAGGCTACAGAAAACAATCGAATGCTGACACCCACTATGCCAGCTACCAGAAGGCTGCCACCCACTATGACAGCCACCAAAAGGCTGGCACCCACTATGCCGGCAACCCGATGCTGATATACCCACTCACTATGCCAGCCGCCAGAAGCCTCAAGCAACGTCTCAGTGAGGCTTGCCAGGTCGGAGTTGCAATGACCCGTCAATCCCCCGACACAGGCCCTTTCCCTTGAACCGGTTCCCAGATTCCAAACCAACCTACCTCCGGAGGCTTTTAGGACCCTGAAGAATTTTGGGCGAATGTCGGCCGGGTAGCGTTCCTCCGCAGTGGCCCTCCGGGGCCCTGAGACAACTCAGGGGGCGCCTCCCCTAGAGGCTTCCGAGGTGGGATCGGCCACCCGGGCGAGACTCTCAAATGGCTTTTGTCTGGTGATGAAAAATAATATCTCGGTGGAACCTCCAAAATGTTGCATTGAACTAAGCACAGAAAGTCAACACCAGAACAAAAGTATGCCAAATTGCAGGGTTTATTGCCGGCGACCACGGAGGACTCACGTCTCTCCAACCCGTGGCAGAGAAAGAAGAGTGACAAGACCTTTTTATACCCACAAAACCACCTTGGGAGTGGGGGTGAGGAGCGAAGATGGGAGTGAAAGCTGTCAATCACCTCCTAGGCTGAGACGAGGGTGAGGGGGCTCCAGACATTCCGAGGGCCAGGGGACTTCTGTCATTCCGATTGCCACTTAAGTGGTTTACAGAGGTCAAGATAAACATTAGTTTATACATTATTTGGACAGGTGTGGGGTCCACATAATTTTAGGTTACTTGGCACCAGGATGGAATTATCTGGGGGTGCTTACTTTGGTAAACAAAGGCCAGCAATTCTGGCAGTTACAGATAAGAGAAAGTATGCAGCTTGTCCTCTCTTTGCATTTTGCAAGGTAATCTTAGTAGTTTACAGAAGCCATGGCTAGTAGTCATTGTGAGGAGAATGGAAACAGTTTTCCCATTTTAAAATGTCATTGTACTGGTTCTAATTCTAGGCCAGCTATATCACAAAACAAGGTCTCACTGTGTTACCCAGGTTGGTCTTGAACTTGTGGGCTCAAGCCGTCCTCCCACCTTAGCCTCCAGCGCTGTTGAGATTATAGGTGTGAGTCACCAGGGCCCACTGTGACCACTTAATTTTCTCTCAAATCTCTCGTCTCAGCCACAGAGTCCATCTCATCTGTAAGCTGACAGGATAATGTTGCTACCTTTAACCCCTGATTTCATCTTAGTAATTTTCCATCCTCTGACCTCCATCCTAGTCCTTGGCTATAAAGTACCACTGACCCATGCTGTATTTGGAGTTGAGCCCAATTTCTCTCCCCCACTGCAAGACCCCATTGCAGTGGTCCTTGTACCTATCACAATGGTCCTGAATAAAGTCTTCCTTAACATAGTTTAATAAGTATAATTGAATACTTTTAAAAAATATACACATGGAGACTGGGTGCAGTGGCTCATGCCTGTAATCCCATCACTTTGGGAGGCCAAGGCAGGTGGATCACTTGAGGTCAGGAGTTCGAGACCAGCCTGGTCAACATGGTGAAACCCCAACTCTACTAAAAATTAAAAAATGGCTGGGTGCGGTGGCTCACGCCTGTAATCACACTTTGGAAGGCCAAGACAGGCAGATCACCTGAGGTCGGGAGTTTGAGACCAGCCTGACAAACATGGAGAAACTCTGTCTCTACTTAAAAAATACAAAATTAGCCAGGTGTGGTGGTGTATTCCTGTAATCCCAGCTACTCAGGAGACTGAGGCAGGAGAACTGCTTGAACCCAGGAGGTGGAGGTTGCAGTGAGTCAAGATTGGCACCATTGCACTCCAGCCTGGACAACAAGAGGGAAATACTGTTTCAAAAATAAATAAATAAAAATAAATTTAAAAATTAACTGGGCATGGTGGCAGACATCTGCAATCCCAGCTACTCAAGATGCTGAGGCAGAACTGCTTGAACCCAGGAGGCAGAGGTGGCAGTGAGCTGAGATTGTGACATTGCACTCCAGCCTGGGCAACAGAGCAAGATTCTGTTGCAAAACAATAACAACACACACACACACACACACACACACACACACACACAGGAGACACCCAAGGAAAAATAAGTAAAATGAGTAAAAAATGAATTTGTTCAACTGAAAGAAAGAGGGGTGTTGGGAGGGTGTGGTAATGGGGAGGTAACCAGGAAAAGGCTAGTAAACAACGGTAAGGTTTGTTATGCAGATTTAAGTTGATGTCTTCTCTATTGATAAGAA